GAATTGTTATCATTATTATTGTCATCATTACATTTCACTAGTTTTAATATCATTACAATCATTATCATTATCATCAATGCTATTGTCACTATAGTTAATATCATTGTTACTATTATCATAATTAATATATCATCATCCTCATTATCATTATCAGCAGTAGTCGTGGTAGGAACGATACAAATAGAAGTGACATCTCATGTACTAAAGAACACCCACGTTGGCTCTATTCAACAAGATGTTTATGGAGGGCACTTCTTGAAAAGAGGCCCTGCTGTTGATTTTATCCTTAAACCTGCGTAGGATGTTACCATACCAACTCCATTATTAAACCTATGTGAAAAGATGCTCTGTTTCTTAGCACAGGATTTAGAAATAAAGGATAAAAAATCGGCTTCTTAGCACAGGATTTAGAGAAAAGGATTAGAAATAAAAAACTCGGCTTCTTATCACAGGATTTAGAAAAAAGTCAGCCTATTAGCATTGGATTTAGGAAAAAAGAGAGAATCACATTATCAATGGTTTAGAAAACTGTCTGTCGTGATATAGTCGTAATGAATAGAATGGTGTGGTTCTCCATACTCAAAATAGAAACTGATTATTTAAAATCATTTGTGTCAACATCGACGGAGTCATAAATATATAAAACTATGAATATATGCCAACATGGAAACAGGCTAAGCTCTTTTAACCTATTTCTATACACGAAGGTATTTTAAAAGTGTGCTTCGAGAATATCTAATGTGTGTATTTGACAGTTCATACTTTGTTACACTATAAAAGGGCCGTCTATATATACTTCTCGGTCTGCAGAGGGAGGGACGGGACTTGAATCGCTGCTTAAATAACTTTGAACACCCTTTTAAGACATAAATGATAATCAATGTTAACGTCTCTCGCACCGCAAGCCGTCATTCAATCGTATGTGGATATATCTCAGCCTTGTTAATATGATTTTTAAAGATTTCCAGTTCAAATATAATTTTTAATGACCAGTTCGGTTTGACGCTGGATTCCTTTAGTAATATAAATCTTTATTGCTAGTTCAGGAAGACGATGGTCTCTCTTGTTAAACTAATTCTTAATTGCCAGTCCAAGTAACCGCTGGACTTCTTTGTTGATATAATTCTTAATTGCCAGTTTCGACAGACGATGGTTTCCCTTGTTAATATAATTCTTAATTGCCGTTTCAGAGGGAAGCCTTTTTCCTTCTAAATATAATTCTTAACTGCAGTTCAGAGGGACACTGGTCTCTCAACTTCCCGTCTCTCGCCTTCCACACCTCCCCCGTTTGCCCCAAGGATGTCTCCTGATACAGTGCGTGGGAGAGGGAAACGAACGCCTTGTCCCTTTGATGAGCTCCTTCCTTCCGCGCACACCTACGTGCAGACGTTACATGATATGAGAGTTATGTTTTCTTACTTTGGGAGTTCTAAGGTGCGTGGTAGGATTTCATTGAAAGAGTTTAATATTTTAATTTCCTTTCAGTGTGTTCGCTGCTAATGAACCTTAGCTGTTGGTGCGGGAGGTAATTTTTAAATAATCAGTCAAGGTTTCAGTGCCATTTTAGAGGTTTCAGTCGTAGTTATTGTAATTGTAGTGCGTAATTAATAGCATTGTACTGCTGTTTTATGGTATTTTGCTGTCTATTAAATACTGGATCTGGTATATATAAATATGATGACTCGTTGCTGTTCCATCAAAAGCATGGAAACTTAAAATACACAAGATAATAACAATAGAACATGACCAAAATAAAAGCAATATGATAAATCTGAAAAAAGTCAAGGAAATGATTCATGCATAAACATTAAGACACACGAAGGGACAGATAAGTGAGAAAAAGGGCGAAAAGGGGAAACAACGAGATTAGGACAAGGTATATAAAGAATTGAAGGCGAGTCGTGCTGAGGGGGTGTAGCTTACGGCAGCACCAGACCAGCGTAAAAAAGAAAGCTAAGTCAAACAACATGAAAAACGGATTATTCTTTCCCTCGCACACACGATAAAAAAGAAACACAAACAAAAAAGAAACAATAAAAAGGAAAAAAAAACAAACAAACCAGAAAATAAACATAGACACAATAAAAAGAAGAAAAAAAAATACAAGAAAATAAACCCAAACACAATAAAACAAGCACTAAAAGAGAGAGAGAGAGAAAAAAAAAAACACACAAACACGCAGACAGAAGAAACAAAACCGTTCCATCCTCCTGTAGGCGGAGACGCTGTTGATCAAGAGTCGTGACGTCATTGGAGCAGACAGCCCGAAACCGCACGAGTCTACTCGATGACCTCCTGAAGCCGAGGGAAAGTGCAAAATATCTCAGAATGCCATGTCTGACTGCCCTTCAAACCTGGCATGAGGGACGGAGAACTATATAACCGTATCATATCATCTGATGTCTTAGAAGATATACATATGTTGTATCCTAAATTTCGAATATAGCATCACATGACCGCATATCAAATGCAATAATGCTTTTTCACGCCCAAGCTGTACGCCGGCGTGTCAGATGAGTAGATAAAGGGCTGTGTAATTGTTCCTTTCATTTAACTGATATAGTACTTACCTAATAATGTTATAGCCTAAAATTCAAATGTAATACCACCATGTAATGTTATGACCATGTATCAAATGTACCACAACTTGCCGACGCCAGGGTGGCAAATAAAGGACTAAACTAAAAAACTAAAATTCAATCCCTAATTAAGATAATGGTTCTCGGGATCCTTAAAATCCTCCTACCTGCTGCAAATGTGGCACATTAACCTCTGTATTAAAGTACGAGACAATAACCAACTTCGATGCAGCCTCGCCGTTACTA